GTCAGGCCATGACTTGGTGTCCTTGAGATACTTATGCCATCCTCTCCTTTCTGTAGGGAGACTGGACCCATTCAAACGCTCCTCCTCCCGGTGACTGATGGCCCCAATGGGTTACAGAGGGAACTGGGGAATATCCAGGGGGGCTTGCGGCATGGTCCTGTCAAGTCTCATTATATCCTGGAACTAAAGGGCAGCGAAAGCTTTGGACAGGATCGTACCTATAGGGCTTCTCTTGACCCACTCACACCCACAGGCGCCCCCCGACCTGAGCGATGAGCTGGCCACGCCCCCCAGCCATTGACTTTGCTCGTCAAAAGTTTGCAAAAGGGAATCACATGACCCTGGGACCACCAGAAATATGAATCTGGCCAAGCTTCCGAACGTAAACCACATTCGGGAATGCTGCAACGGTCATAACTCTGAGAAATTGTCATAAGTCACATTTTTCAGTGCCGTTGTAACTTTGAACGGTCACTAAGCAAACTGTTGTAAGTCGAGGACTACCTGTACTTTATCCCTTTTTCCATTTTTTATTTTTTTTTTGGTCATCGGGTTTTTCACACCTTGCTAGGCGACTGGTGGTAGTCGAATATGGCCTTATCCTAAAAGTGGTACGATCGGTGAAAAGGTTGAAAAGTCCTGAATTAGATCCCTCACACTTCTGGCTTGTGGAAATCTCCAGGATGGTATCAGAAAGGGGTCATTTCTGGGACTTTTCAAGGCCCCGATTCACCCTCTACTCAAAAATCATCTCTTGATCCCACTTGTCTGGGCCATTTTTTATCCCGTTTCCCATCTTCCCTTTCGGGGGAAGCTGGTAGAAAAGGTGGTTTCAGATGCAAGAAATCAGGAGCAAAGGTTCGCATTGGCTGTTTCCATCTCAAGTAGGATCACAGATTGAGGAAACGTTTAAGATCTAAATCTATGCCTCTGTTCAGAACGACGCAGAATTAACGTCCAAGCTCTTTTACATCCAGAGGGAATCTGCCGCAGATTCCTTCCCACAGACCGGTACGCTCCCACAGAGTGGGTCTCCTCAGGGTGCCGTCGGCCAAGCAGTGTCGGCTGGCGACCCCCAGGGGGAGGGCCTTCTCTGTGGGTGCCCCTACCCTCTGGAATGAACTACCCCCCGAGATCCGGATAATTCCGGATCTCCTTACCTTCCGTCGCGCCCTCAAGAC